GTGAGGTTCAGCAGATCCCTGTGCTGTGCCTTGGGAGGACTGCATGGATTTTTACCCGTATTTCAGGTTCCTGCTGTTTAACCCCAAATGCAGTAATTGCTCTTGCTGGGATTGTAGCATCTAGAAACAAGAATGTGAAATGATGAGGGATGTGAAGCACAATGGTGTTTTATGTCTGTCTGACTTTCATGGTGTCTCATTAGTACAGTCGTTAAGGAAAAATAGTGTAGTTAATCTTGCTCCAAAAGCACTTGATGTTCTGTTCATGTTTTAATTTTTCCTAGCTCACAGGGAAAGTGAGCATGCATGAAAGTCTGTCTCATGCCCAGGGACTGTACGCAGTCTGACACAGCGTTTGATCACTGGTGCACCAAGCAGAGATTTTCCTTTATAAAGCTGGAGAGCAAGAAGCAGCCCCTTTCTCCTGCATGTCCCACTGTGAACTCTCTATTTTGTGCTTCCATCCATCCAACATGGAGAAATCCTCTTCTTGAATGAGACTTGTAAGTGATGTTATCACACAACTAAAGAACCGAGGTGTCAGTTAGCCTCAGCTGGTGCTGCTTCAATTGCTACCTTCTTAAAAGTGCTGCAGCATGGAAAATCGACTCCAGTCAGCCCTTTCCACATCCCACTATACCAACTAACTTGGGTATCTGGCACATTTCCTCCTCATTTGAGGGGAAAAAAGATCTATCACATCCCTCACTGGAAGGCCCTGCCATCGCTATTCAGTGGTTTTTCGTTTGCTGTTCAGGTTATGTAGTTTGGAGCAGGCATGTAGCTTTTAGGACAGGATCTGTGTGTTCATGGCCCTGCTGGTTGCTGCACCTGGTAAAATCTTTGTAAGGGATGTAACAGCAGTGGGCATGGATGGAAGAAGGGAGAAGGTGCTGTTTAGGCTTGTGGTGGTGGTATGTGTTCCAGTGCCCTTTGTGCTGAGGGGAATTCGGATGTACAGATGTAGTAGGGCTGCATCAAAGTTTGTAGCGTAAGTTGCAGTATGGGCTGATGTGCACTAAGGAGATGCTGAAACGTCCCTATGGGAATGCCCACGGGGACTCTCCTGGCAGAGGAGGGTTTGCTGATACCCAGAAGCACAGCTCCAATGCAAAGGGGATGTGAGTGTGTAGGACTGTTGTAGGACTGTCGTTTTTCTGTTTTATTTCATCCAGCACACGATTCAACTCAGATTGTTGGAAAGGATGAAGGAGGGCTTACTTAGGAGCACTTACTTTCCATATAATCCTTAACGTGTGGAAATCTAAACCTACAGGGATTGATTTTAATTTCCTCTGAAAAGTTGCTCCTGGCACAATCTGATAAAGACATTTTTAGGCTAATTCTTCCCAGCCCCCTCCGCTGCCCTTCCCAAGCTATCTGAGCATACCTATCTGGGGGAATTCGTTGGGCGATCACCACATCTTGCATTCATTACCTCAAATACCTCCCAAATCGCCGATGTGAGGGAAAGTGGTCTGACAGCATTTTCTGAAACTTCCTCCTTTTTGGTGGAGAACTTACCCAGAATCTTGCCACCAGTTGACTTTTCTGCCCCCTGTTTAGCAGTGTGTCCAGTGCTCAAAGGTAACGAAAGCGAGCTGCTCCATCATTTTTGGCAGCTCTGTGCTGCTTGTTTCCTTTCACTGATGTTGAGCATCATGTCCTGATCTTTCTAGAAACCATTGATATGGAAATATTTTTCTTGTTTTCATTTAAATTCTTGTTGTTGCATTTATTTAAGCTGGATGGTATATTTATTTGGAAAAATCAGCAGCATGCCAATCCACGGCTCTTGGCATATTCACAAAACTAATCATGCAATAAACATAATTCCCTTCAATCTGTGTTCAAGCACTTTGATCCTAATGCTGTTAGGAAAGTCCTTTCATTCTGATTTTCTTTGTGAAGCACCAGGTGTGACTGCAGTGGTTTTAGGAGATGAAGATGATAACAAGAGGAAGGTTTACAGTGCCTATAGCATAAGGGCTATGGCTTATTTTTTGAAATATTGCTTCTCTATTAATTTATGTACCACAATTTTTCTGGGTTTTTTGGTTGGCTGGTTGGGGTTTTTGTTTGCTGTTGTTTGTTTTAAGAAACAACACCATCTGTTGTTTTCCCACCAGCAGCATGGCTGTCTGACCAGGGATGCTGACGTTTGTTGCCATGCCTCTGCCACAAGCTGGAAACAGCTTTTCAGCAGTCACGTTTCCAAACACTTTGGTGGGGACAGGTTGATCATGGGCATGTCCAAGTGCAACTGATCTTCAATTCTAGGAAGTTGGTCAGTGGAAAAGGCAATACAGTACCTTGGTTGCACCTTCAGGGCTGCATCCAGAGACAGTTCTACCAGTGCAAGTCTTTCTGTTGACTTCAAAGAGCCTGGGATGAAGCTGCTAGTTCACAGAGAGACTCCCATCCACCCCTTGGAGCTTTGAAGTATTTTTTACTGAGTGGGGGGAAAGGAAAGAAAGAAAGAAAGGAGTCTGCGAAAGGAGTGTTTTTTGTCTGTGCTTTTCAAACCTTTAAAAAAAGCAAGGTCAAAGCTTACCTCACTGCAGCATTGTTATTGATGGACGTTGTGAGCGGGTGGCAGCGTTTCCAGTGATGAAAGAACCCTGCTAATGAAATGCAAAGTTTCTTGGGGTCAGGGCTAAGGGATGCCTGCAGCAGGGAGATGTACCTCTGCCTTCAGTCATGTGGCACTGAGATAAGTGTGCTATTGAGTTGTTCTGTGCATATGGCTCACATATGCTTCAAATCTACGTGCCAAGTAAAAGTTGGAAGTACCTGAGAAGAATTAGAAGGCAGTTACGAAGCAGGCTCTTTGCAAAAGAATTTTCAGTCTCTAATACTTGCTTACATCAGGTTATCCAACCTCTATTTTCTGTCAGTGCAAATGAGATCATAACTCACATGTGCATGAAACCAAACACGCAGCTGCCTCGCTGTAATATATATTAAAGGCAGACATCAAAATGATTAATTCCAGCATCTCGGTAATTACGTTTCAGTATTAACAAAATTAGCCTAATTATGCCTCCATCTCTAGGTGTGCCAAAATGTGCATGTAGACCTGCCACATCTTGGCATGGGATGCCAAGATAAATGTCACAGTCTGACTCCTTACCAAATTCAAGTGATTAGTAGAAGGGGGATAGCAATTTTGGAAATGACACCATATTTGCAAGGCCAGTGTTTGTCAACCAGCTTCATGGTAGACATGATAGAAGTTGATAAGTGTGTTTGATAGGAGTTGATGTTTCCTTTGTGCTGCCGATGTTCGTTGCCTGCAGAGAGATGTTGAAAGAATGAAAAAATGAACTTAGGATGAAATTTGAAGGCTTACAAAATTAAGATAACATTAACTCAATCTTTTTTCCTGTTCATACTGAAGAGGAAAAAGTGAAGTTTATGAACCTCAGTAACTTGTGGAAGTCTCATTTGGGAACAAGGGACAGCATATCCTCTGTTTTCCAGTGTAAGATTGGGTGTTGGTCTTGGCAGAGAGCAGCTTCCTGCTGTTAGGGGCACGCTGGTGTTTGGGGATGCTCCATGAACCTGTTGTTTGTGCAGGTGGAGAGCAGCAGTCAGTGTTTCCAGCAGGAAAAGGGACCTCAACAGCTGTCCCCTCACCTTCAAAAGCAGAGCAGGTCTGGGTGTCCTATGCCATCTATAACAGCCACATCACACAGGTCAGCATGATGTGGCCGGATCTGTCTTGACCTCTTGAATGGCCCTTAATTCCCATTGAACTTGAGGGATGTTGGCAACCTTGGCTACCTGTCAGTGGCCTTACAACAGGAAAACAGCCTTTTTCAGAGCACTGCTTATGCAAGCTTTTAACAGCAGCTGATCTTATGAGTTATACCCCTTTCTTGCCATGTTTGCCTGAACTTTTTCATTTCAGAGCAAGTTTTCTGCTCTCTTGTTTCTCCATATCCCTCTAAACACAATGGGGGCTGAATGATTTGGAAGCAGTGCTGTAATTTAAAATGATCAGAGTTGTCAATGGAAGTGCCAATTTCTGGTCTAATGGATCTTCCAGAATCACTACACATGTGATCTGTAGTGTGTTAAGTTTCAAAGGTATTCATAGGCTGGGAAGAGTTTGGGCTGTAATTTATTTCTTAGCAAATACAGTGATGGAGCAGCTCCAAAAAGAAGGAAGAAAGCTGATCTCTGCATGGTTGCTCCTCTTTGACAAGGAAGCAGAACGTTTCATATTGAAAGATGGTTGGATCCGTGTGTTTGCGCTCAGGCTGCCTGTGATACAGCATGTAATGAGTTGCATAACGTGTAATGAAGAAATTGAAACTGAGTTTCTGGGTGCATCATGCTGAGTAAGAGGCTTGTTCTACAAGAAACTGTCATATTAAATTCTTGTCGTGATTCCAGACCCCTTTGATTCCTAAATCTTTTGGAGGAGACTAATCTGAAATCAAAGTGAAGTTGCTTGGGGTTTGCATGCCAGCAGCGGTCACATTTGAAAAAGTTCAGTGAACCTGCAGAGGGAGGTTGAAATGCGTTGCCTCACTACAAAGCTTGCAGCTAACATACCTGCTGCTTTGCTTTTTGCTTTCATTCCTCCGGCTCTGCCTTCTTCTGGGTTGCTTTCAAGATGCATAAATCTTAAGGATGAGTGTGTCCTGGTTTTCCGTCTTTGTTTTATTAAAAAAAAAAAAAAAAAAAAGAATAATCAGTCTGTGCTGGTGTAAAGTAAAACAAACAGGAGCTTTACTACTGAGGACATAGAAAAACTGTGTTTTGCCCCTCTGCCCGCTCCTCTGTGCAGTCACTTCCCTCTATCAAGGTGCATATCACACTTTACCCCCCTTATATACCAATTTTTGACCTCCCATTGTACCAAGGTAAATGGAAACGGTCCCTTTCATGTTCTTCTTGGTCCAGCTGAAATAAAACATAGCCATGGCCCTTGCTGAACCACATAGGTCACCCTGCACCAGAGCTGATTTGTTGTTACTTTATATTTACAGTGTTCTGTCTCCTGCGGAAGGGGCCAAAGGCACCGCACTGTGTACTGTTTGACAAAGGAAGGGAGGCATGTAGAAGAAGATTATTGCAAGCACCTTGTTAAGCCCAATGTGCAAAAGAAATGCAGAGGGGGCAGATGTCCGAAGTGGAAATCAGGAGATTGGGGACAGGTGAGACATGTTGTATACCCTTTTGCACCCTTTGATATTCCTCTTCTATCAAACCAGCTAGAAGCCAACATGGTTTTCCCATCACTTCTGTCCTCTTTGCAAGGGTTAAGGCTTGGGCCAGCTCCTCAGGTGGTGTAAAACTATGTTAGCTCCATGGGCAGCAGCAGAGCAGCACTGATTTGTACACGGCAGCTTGCTTTTGGTGTCTAACTGAGAGCAAATTCCTTGTATATGTTAAGCTTTTTCTAGGAAAGCCGCTAGTGTGTAATATTAAACTACTATTTATTCGTGTTTTTAATACTGTTGTTATTTAAATACATCAGATCATAAGCAAAACCTGCTTTAGTTTTGGGAAATCTGAAATTAATTTTACTATCAGCCTCCTGCGAAAGCCCGAAGAACAATCAGAGCTGCTCATTAAAAACGCTTTTCGCTCCCTTCTGTTTCTTAATATCATCATCATTTAACTTTGCTTCATTAAAATGTCACACACTGGTTGCGTGGAGCAGAGGCTGCTGACGTGGGAAAGCATATGGAGCTCTTAAGCACCTTGTTTGCTGAGAGCATACCTTGAACCCTCGTTCTCCTGAAATGAATGTTTTTGTTTTCACCTTGAGTCCAACCATGGCATTTTTAGCTCTGAACTTCAGTTCTCTACCTCATTAGTGTGCTAATCAGCAGAATTATTGAAAGGCCCCAACTAAATGAACTGTTACCTTGTAAAAGCATCGCGTTCTCTCGCGGTCTGTCTTGCAAAACACCAATTCTCGCTGCATGCCAGTTGCCTACCAGATAAACCATTAACACACCTGGGCACACATGGCAGCGTTAGGATGGAAAATAAAAGGCCATTAAATGCGCTTGTCATATCCCATTTGCACCTCATTTAAAGTGAGTGCTGCTGAAAGCAGTTCTTCTTACAGCTAATAATTGTAAGCATAATAACGCAATGCTCTGTCGATTGCTTTAAAATGCACTCATAATAATTGATAAAAGTAAGTGCGTGCTCTAAAATTCCAACAGTCCTCCACGTGATTGGAGTTAATTTTATGCAAGGGGAGAAAGTAAGGAGGTGATTGATGGCCTGCAGTATCTCCTGTGGCTGGGCAGTTAGGGAATATTGGGATGCCATGAGCAGCGGGCAGCAGCGCTCCGCTCTTCTGGGCGTTCTGCATTTAGAGGCCAGGCAGTTCTTTTCTATGCGGTTACAAATCTGCTGTCCTACAGCAAAGCATTTCTACTATCTCTAATAACCGGAAGAAAAAGAAAAAAAAAAGGCTCTTCAAGGTCTAAGTGTGTTTGTGTTTGCAGTGAAATGTCAGATTTAATGTGTTTGGATCTTGTAATTGCTATCAATTATGGCCATTTACTTTTCACCAACGTTTCTCCCTCAGTCTGATATTTACACCTTCCAGCTACAGGCTGCAGTCATAGCTTGTGTTTTCACGAGGCACAGCTTCTCCACATCTGAGCTGCTGCACAGCAGCTTGGTGATAAACCTCAGGAGAAGGAAGGTGCACAGACTGTATAGAAAGGATGAAGAGGCTGCTGGCAGCCCCTAGGGCATCACACCTCAGTCTCCCCCAGCCTGAATAGCTTCAACCCACCAGCTCCTAGTGTTCTATAGCCCACAGCTGTATGTTTCCAGGACAGACAGAAGCTGCTGACCAGTATTTAGGGTTGAAACTTGTTTGAGATGCTCTCTGGGCAGCAGTTATTCCCCTAAGAAAAGCCATAAGGAAAAGCTTCACTCTGACTTTGCAATAATGGGCTATGAGCTCGTTTTCTAAGTTCCTAATGGATCAATAAGGATGCACATATTAATTCAGCAAAGAGTAATTTGGTAAAAGCCGTGATTTAAATGAATGCCTTTTGATTTTTACATGCTTTCTTTCAGAAACACACATTCTTTCTCTTCCATCTATATAATATCCCTTAAGACCTAGCAAGAAAGCATTCATATCAGAAGGAAATTAAGTTCTGCCAAACGGGTTACAGTGCGCAGTCACAACAGTAGGAAATGCTGTCTGAAAGAAAAACCAAGCTGTTAGAAGCATTGTAGTGCAGATAATAACTTGAGGATGTCTGAGAAAGAGAAATTCGGGCTGTTCCTGCTGTGCCTAGAAGCAGGCAGAAATGTGCCCACAGTATAACAGGGATAAGAAAAGCAGTTCATTTACAAAGATGCTAATTTACACAGTTCTACAGTATGTCCTGACTTGAGTCATGTGCATGTTGGAAGGTGTGCTGGAAGGAATTGCAACTGCTTCATAACTTTACGTCTAGCTTGCTGTACACTTTCTTCTATATAACACAAGTTTGCTTTTCCTTAAAGCCTGCTGCAGTGACAATCGTGATGTATTTTGAGCTGTGTGTATTGAACTGCTGGAGCTACGTAATACTTAAGGTCCCGTTCCAGCCAAGCCATTCTGTGATTCTCTTTTTTACCCGGAGTGTGTGAGAAGTAACGCACAGAGCCTCACAGCTCTGGGATGCCGTTCCATTGAACAGCGCTGCCATCTCCGAGCATTTCCCAAATACAAACCCGAGCAGGGGGACAACCTGACCCTGCTGAAACCAGCAGCGAGAACTCCCTCTGCCTTTAGCAGAGCAGGAATTCCAGCCTGGCAGGAGGCACAGCAAAGCACAGATCCCCGCAGCAACCCGTGCCGCTCACCCACCTCTGTCCCTTCCCGCAGTGCTCGGTGTCCTGCGGTCGCGGTGTCCAGCGGCGTGCGGTGCAATGCCACGGCGGTGCCCCGACGGCAGCGTGCGACCCTGCGAGCCAACCTGCTGCCCAGCGGGACTGCCAGCTCCCCCAGTGCCCCACGCACCGCTGGGCTACGGGCGAATGGCAAACGGTAAGCAGGACCCCTCCCGCCGGCCCCCGCTCGGGCTCTTAACAGGGGTTGAGGGGTCTGGGTCTATCTGCGTTGGGGTTTTAGGGGTTGCATGCTGGGTTTGCCAAAAAAAAAAGAAGGCGGGGGAGATGCTAATGCGTGCTGGCTGTGCCTCTTCTCTCGCTGCGCTTAAGGGAGAGCGGTGCAATAGCACGGCGGTGTTAGTTTATTGGTTCGTGCTGCCCTGCGTTTGGCTGGGGGCTATGCTAATATTGAGTGGGTTTGGGGTGCGGTGTGCTTGGGTCTGGTGTGTGAGGTTTGTGGCCTTCTACATGTAGAGCCAGCCCTGCTGCTGCGGGCATGTAGATCTAGAGGTAGTGGTGAACGTGGTGGTTCTTCCTTCACTGCCCTGTTCACTCTGACAGCTGCCTGGGTGAGTTGCCTGGTGGTGCTGGGGAACGGGGTGATGGTGTGCTGGTGGTCCTCAGAAAGTGGCTGGTGGTTCTCAGAAAGTGGCTGCCTAAAATGCTACAGAGGAGAGGCAGTGAAGGGTCAGAAGTGTTTGGGACAGGAGGACAAAGAGATGCTGTCCCTGGGCTGTGAAAGGAGCTGCCAGCCTTGGAAATGGGAAAGATGATGAAGCTGAGTCACATAGAGGGGTGTCCTTGTCCCACAGAGGAGATGGGATCCCCCATCACGCATCCTCAGTGGGGTATGCAGGGACAGAGGAGGCAGAAGACCCCCTGTCAGAGGCAGCTGCCTCCCTGCAGAACCATTGCTGGATTGTGCATCCTTAGGGCAACAAAGATCCCACTGACAGTGCCGGTGTGGGATCAGAGTCTGGTCCTCTTCACCTCAATGCCTGCAGTAGTGAACAGCTCTGGGGAGCAGGGTAAACGTGAATTGTGCTCACTGTTATGAAACAGTTAATGCAGATGAGCTCAGCTTCATTCCATATGATGGATTTATAATCCCAAGTAGTGTCTCCATGCATAAGGGTGTCGGTCCTTGAGAGTCCTGCACTGTGCCCTGTTGCCACCTGCCATGAGCTGAGGTGTCCCAACACAGCACAGGCGTCCCAAAGTAGCAGCAGCCCAGAAGGCAGCAGCAAAGCTGTGGCAATGAACTTCTGCTTCAACAGAGCCACTCAAATGGCCCTAACTGGCAGATTTACAGGCAGCAAACAGCACACAGTCACAGTCCTTGCCCAACAACATTGTTAGCACAGAAATGTTGGTTTTCCTATATCTTCCTTTTGCCATATTTCCCTTATTTCTGCACTTCTGAAGCCAGTGGTGATAGTTCCCTCCCTCCCACCCTAACCCTAAGGTGGGTGCTGATGTGTTCCAAGGTTTCCCAGGGCTCCCCATTGTACCAAGGGAATCTCAAACATTTTTAAGGTGCTTTTTATTCCTGGTGTTTCCTCACCCAGAGCTGTTGGTTAATAGGAACGTGCAGATGTCACCCACTGTGAGCTCATCCCTGTAGCTGATTCCAAGCAGTTCAGAGCACTTATTTTGTTCTGAGGTACCCGGTGTAAATGTAGCATCACCTTATCCCCAGCCATAAGTCCTGGCTGTGCTGTCTGCAGTGAGGAGGCACAGATTGCATTAGTATTCTCCAAGCAATGAACCCTAATTGGCGTGAAAGCAGGATGTAAAATAACATCCCTGTGCTGTCTTGTTCTTGATTTCTTATCTTTAAAGGGAATCTGTCAAGAGGGTTTTTTTGTTGCCCCGTTTTGTTGCTGCTTAAAAAAAGTTTGTTTTGCCAATGAGAAGTAATAGGGAACTTATTGGAAACCATTTACCACTCAGTTGTTGGGTCACTATTAATTAGCTGTTCTCAGTGCCCACAGCAGTGAGGAGAACATCAATAGAAAAGGCCCAGGGATCACCAAGAGGGGAAAGCAATAGAGGGTCTGAGTATGAACCTGTGAGAGGGACAGTGCACAGCTCTGGAAGCTGCAGTGTAATTCTTGAATCTTTGACATTTGCTTTTTGGGGGAAATGAAGGCATGCTTGCATGCTTTAGATTGCAGAGCCACCCCAGGGACGTCTGCAGTGCCTCTGGAATGGGGCTGCTCCTCATCTGCGCTTCACTGTTTGATTTAGAAAAACAAGAAGCACAATGAGTGCTTGCACAAAGCAATGCCTTTGGGATTATTTTTTTAATTACTATTATTATTATTCTAGAATAGTTGCAGAACTGCTTGAAATGGTCTTTAATTTGATCTGTGGGGAAATAGTTCACAATTTGGGAAATGGGGCGAAAGAGATGATTTTTTTGTCACATGCCTGGGCTGTTTTTCAGCTCTTGCTATCCATCTCCATTGTTCCCTGGCCTTGCTGTTTTATGGGAGATTTAGATGGGTCATGAGCATGAGATTTCTTGCAAAATCTGTCTTCATACCAAAGGAAGAAGCCTTTTCATGAGAGCTGATCTGTCTGTTTCTTGTGTGAATTATGTCTTATAACCTTGCTGTGGCCGATTGGAGCCTCTGCAGTGTTTCTTTGATTTGTTTTATTATTTGTATTATATCTCGCTGTCTTTGTGTTGTATTTAATGTCTCAGTGGGATTATTTTAATTGCCAGTTATCCCCAAAATACCAAAAATCTAACTGCAATTAACTGATGAGGGCAAGATGCGCAGAGCTGGTGCAGCTTTAGTTGGCCATATGACCATAATTTGCAGAGAAGACCAAAGCAAGGTGATGTATCAGGTTGGATATTAGGAACAATTCCTTCTCAGAAAGAGGATGATGCAGTGGCACAGGCTGTACAGGGAGTGGTGGAGTCACCATCCCTGGAGGTGTTCAAGAACCGTAGAGATGTGGCACTGAGGGACGTGGTTATGGGCATGGTGGGATGGGTTGGTGGTTGGACTGGATGATCTTAGTGGTCTTTCCCAACCTTACTGATTCTATAGTGTGATTATTATTATAGTGTGATACTGATTCTGAGTGTGTCACTCTCAGCAATCAATGATTTTAATTGAGTATGGGCTTTAAATGTGGTTACTGCTCACGGCCAATGTCAGAAAACCCACTGATGGCAGAGAGAGTTCATTCATCAAAAATTATCAAATTTAGGTTTAAGTATATGTGAGGAAGGGGAAATATGAGATCAGGGAAACTTTGAGCATCCCGCTGCACACCAGCGATGCTGCGCTCCGTTCAATAACCCAATTTCACATTTTCCTTACATAATAAGGAGCTCTCAGGGGCAAACACATACAGCACGGTTTCTTTGCTTTCTGGGCAAATCACACTCCAGCAAATTCTTCCAGCCCCTTTAGCATTGCTGTGCTTCAGCACAGACCTAGGAGCAACTTCCACTGTGAGGACTTAAAGCGAGAGAGTAAATAAGGTTGAAAAGCTCATGAAGCCCTTGGGGTTTCTTGGCAGACTGCGGGTTTTGCAACGTTGGCTGTTGCCTAAGAGCTGCTGAGTTATTCCTTCAGAACAAGGCTGCTTTGTAGAGCTGGATCCCTCTCCCATCCTGCACGGTTATTGCTTATTTATGGCAAATATTATGCTGCGTATTGATCTCGTTTCCCAAAGTTATCAAATATTTTGATTCTGACAGCGTTTTGCAATTAGGTGGACCTGCTAAAATCTGCTAATTGCAGGTGAGGCAGGAGCGCGGGAGCTGCTGTAACGAGATTAAACTGGCACAGTCCTCTGAGCCTGGGAGACTTCAAACAGTGCTTCTGTACCACCGGGGATGGTCTGGTTGAGTGTTTTATCCATTCCTGAGGAAAAAAACATCCCCTGCACATTACATAAAATGATTACCTTCATGCACTTTTTCTCCTTGTTAATCCAGTTAGTTGGAAGTGTTAGGAGCTCATTACAGACGAGCACTGATCAAAAATATGGTTTTGCGAAGACAGTCACTTGTGTGCTGATTTATTTTGTTTCATTTGCATTTTTTGGCTATACAAATTGCTCCCTGGAGCATTGCAAGGGCTTCGTGGGCAGCAGGAGCAGTCTCACAGCCAGGGAAAGGATTTGAGGAAAGAATCAAAACCTTAAAGTCTTCATTAGACCTCAGGGAGGGTTTGTGCTCAACCAGCCTGGGTCAGGATCAGGCAAGGCAGTATTTAAAGAACAGAATCAGAAGGATGCATGGATGAAACTGGTCACAATAAAGGGAGTGGTGTTGCATTGTGCAAGGGGCAGCTGTCTCTGTTTAGTGGGGGCAAGATGATGGGGTTGGCCAATTTCTTTCTCACTGTCCTGGCATGTCCCTTTGCATCTCCTGGTACCACCACAGCTGGAACCCATCCTGCTTCTTCAGCTCCTCCCCATCCCTGCACTGCACCTTGGCACCTCCATAGGTTGGGGATACATGGGCACCCGGGATGCAGGTGTTGGCACTGTTCACAGATATCCCCCCATGAAATGCCCAGCTCACTCAGGCTGCTGGAGGAAGGCTTGCTGGGTGTGGGGATGTGGGTTGAACCCCCGCTGGGTTGGGTGAGCCGCTGTTTCTTGCAAACAGTGCATGAAGACGTGTGGGGAGGCGGCTCGGTACCGCAAGGTGTTCTGCGTGGATGAGAGCAAGCAGGTGCAGAGCAGCACCCACTGCGACGCCAGCAAACGGCCCCCAGAGATGGAGAGCTGCGGGCTGCCGCCCTGTGAATACATCTGGATCACTGGGGAATGGTCGGAGGTGAGTCCTCATCCCTGTCCCCATCCCCAAGCCAGGACTTGGCTGTGCTGCCCCACTCCCTCCTCTTGCTGCCCGCCTCACTGGGATCTTGCAACAAGAGCAGGGCTGCATGGTTTAATGAGTAGTTGTTGGTTTGTTTCTGTGTGCAATTTCCCTGCTGGACAGAGAGGAGAAGGGCTGCAGGAGATGGCCAAGATACTAAAATGTGAAAACCAATGTGCTCAAAGTCCTAGCTGCTATCAGGAGTCAGTTTTCTTCCAGAACACATCATATACAGCAGGCACTCTCCTCTATTCCGTTCTATTTTGTTCTACTCTGCTCTACTTTATTCACGGGTTCTGTTTTGCTTTGTTCTGTTCTATTCATGAGTTCAGTTCTGTTCTACTCATGGACTTGGTTCTATTCTATTCCATTCATGGGTTTTTTTTGTAGTTGGCACTGTATGCAGGGACACCCAGAGTATAATCTCAGCCTGCTTCCCTCTTCAGCAAGCACAGGATTACTTTCCACTTGGAAGGACAGCAGAAGGAAGTGAGGAGACAGCTGCTGACATAGCCCTGATTAAAAAGAAAGAGCCAGAAAAAAGAAAAAGCAAACATTCTGGAACTGAGGGGAAGGAAGGAAAGGCATGCCATCCGAGCAAGCACAAGAGGGAGAAAGGCAGAGATGGAAAAGTCTTGAGCACTGGTTTTCTTCTAATTACAAAGAAAGCCACCTTTCTTCCAGCACCTTCAGTTCAGCATCAGTCTTGGCCATTTTCTTTCACTATGGGCAAAAATAAATAAATTAAATAAATAAAAATAAAAGGAGAAAACCCAAATAATAGACATCTCTGTTCCCAAGGGATTACGTGCTCCTTTCTTGGCACATGGGGGATTGTGCCCAGGAGCCATCTGGGCACAGGTCCTGGAGCAGCACTGGGGCCCAAGGGCTTGTAGCTATTCTGCTTACTGATGGGCGTAATAGTTACAGCAGTTTGCCACTCCTATAAGCACTGACAGATGCTTCCCCTCGCCCTCAGTGCTCCGTCACCTGCGGCAAGGGCTACAGGCAGCGCCTGGTGTCGTGCAGCGAGATTTACACCGGCAAGGACCACTATGAATATGGCTACCAGAACACGGTCAGCTGCCCCGGCACGCAGCCACCCAACATCCAGCCCTGCTACCTCGGGGAGTGCCCCGTTTCTGCATCCTGGCGCGTCAGCAACTGGGGAAGCGTAAGTTTGGCAAACTGTGTTTTTTTTTTAACCAAAAGAATTTTAACAAATCTGTTTTTTCTTTGTTACACGTTCCTAAGGTTTGGGAGGGGTGTGGTGTTGGAGAGTTGCGTGAATGAATGCATTGAGAGCCGTTGATGCTGTGTAGGGTCCCCTGCTCTGTGCTGAGCCCTGTCGTATGGGGGGGTTCGTGACATCCACGAGTGCCACAATCGCCATAAAAATTCAGTTGTAGTCCAAATTTCTGGGCATGTTGAGGGCCATGCTGAATGCTTAGTCAGAAAGTGAGGTCGTTGCCAGAAAAGGGCCCGAAACCATTGTGCTAGAGTAGAGGGAATGATGGATAGCTGGCAGCTGGGGCAATACTGCTTGTCCATGTGTGCAAGCAAGGCTTAGGAACCAGCAACAGGCTGAACTCTGGTAATCTGAGCCTTAAAAGGGTTTGTCTGTCTTTCCCCACCTTCTTCCTCCTCCTTTCAAATGCTGGGACGTGGCAGGGGAAAAAACTTAACCTTTCTGTTAAAGTTATTTGTACTTCAGGCCCCAGAAATGGCTCCACACAAGATCAAATTTTAGTTAAGGTGATAACATTTCACTTCTTTGGGCTTCTAACATTCTTTGAAATGTGGCAGTTCTCCCATAAATTTGATTTATTAACCCAGCTCAGGCATTTGTAGGAATTTGTCAAACCTTTACGAGGCAACGAGGGTCAAGTCAAGCAAGATGTAGTTGTCACAGTAAATGGCAGGGCTGTTTGAAACCCAAGTTCCTTATGCCCCACAGGAAGCTTTAGATCCTCCCTGAGTGTCAGGGCAGAGGGATTGCAGCAAAGAGCTCAGTCTCAGTTAGTTGGTGGTTCCCCCCAAAATCTCAGTGCAAAACGTTCAACTGTTAATGCAGCTCTTTTGAGAAGAGTGTCCATTTCAGAGAGCACGTTTTTTGGGCTGCTGAAGGTATCAGAGACTGCAAAGTGCCATGACCCTGCTCACCTCTGGTTTTCAAGGGGTTTACTGTGAATTACTTTTTGCTCTGCTCCATCGTGAAGTGTCATGGAACTGATGAAGAGCAAATGCCAGGTTGCAAATGGTGTGGTAACCTTCAGTATTTCAGCCTTCATTTGGGCCATCTGAGTACAGAATTTATGCAGATTTTGCCATTTTTCTGGGCAGGGAGGGGAAAAGGAGCTTGGAGATGGTACAGTTTGGTTAAAAAACAGCAGATTGTGCCATGCGTGTTCAGAGGCTCCTGCTAAGGACCAAGCAATGCTTCCATCCACCAGGAGAGGACATCTAGCATTCAGTCCTTCTAGAGAACATTTCTTTCTTGTGCAAGCTTCTCACTGCAAATAAAGAACATTTTTGCTTGAGCACAGCGTTGACCTTAACCAACATAGTCTCATTCACTAAAGTAGGTAAGTGCTAAGTGAAGTACCATCTTCTTAAAATAATTAAGGATGACGATATAATGAAGGGATTCATAATCAAAGAGGCTACTTCTGCGATTAAAATTAAATCCTTGCAAAACGGAGACCTTTGCTGCTGCTTCTTTATAGAAGGAAAATTGGTTGTCTTCATTCTTATGGTCCAAAGCCCAGAAGCCCTTGAGATAAAACATGACCCTCTGCCTCTGGTCTTGCAGTGTTCTGTGACCTGCGGGGTTGGCATCATGCACCGCTCGGTGCAGTGCCTGACCAACGATGACCAGCTCAGCAACTTGTGCCATGTGGATCTGAAACCCGAGGAGAGGAGGACGTGCCACAATGTCCACGACTGTGAGTCTGCAGCTTTGCACCTTCCTTTGCTTTTCTTATGCCTTGAGCATCTGTTCCTGTCAAGCTCCTGGAGGTGTGCGGTATTTCCAAGTGTTGGGAGCCATCCAGCAAAGCACTAAGGCACTCCAGGGACACCTTTTAGAAATAAACACATTGCCTTGCTGCTTGAGATGCCTTGCAAAAGAAATGTGCTATACCATCACTCAGTGATGACATGCAGTTCTGGTTTCTTTCAGGTGAATTACCGAGGAGCTGCAGTGATGTTAAAAATCTCAAAGGTGTCACTGAAGACAGTGAATATTTCCTTAAAGTCAAAGGGAAGACATTAAAGGTGTGTGTCAGCTGCAGACTGATTGTGCATTTTCCCAAGGGGTAGAGGACACTGTGTGTTCTCCTCAATTTCCACTTACACTTCCTACTTTCAGTTTTCTGGGCGTTCCCTTTGCGTACCATGCCTGACAAAATCATGACTTCTCTTCCCCAGGTGTATTGCTCTGGGATGCAGACTGACAGCCCAAAGGAGTACGTGACCCTTGTAAATGGAGATGCAGAGAACTTTTCAGAAGTGTACGGATACAGGTAAGGAATCCCTTTAGTTCTGAGCTTCCCGATGTCTTTGATTGCTGTGGCAATATTTTCCAGTCATGAGTAGAAAGGGTTTTCTTTTGATTCAGATTGCATAACCCGACCGAATGTCCGTATAATGGGAGCAGACGAGAAGACTGCCAGTGTAGGAAAGATTACACAGCAGCTGGGTTTTCCACCTTCAGCAAAGTAAGGCTGGACCTGAACACTATGCAAATAATAAGTGAGTAACTACAGGGCCTTGCCATTAAAAACCAAATCATGTTTATTTTACACGAATGTAGCTGTAATTATGAGCAAGCAGTAGCATCTAGTGAGGCTTATTGCTGAGTTCTCCTGACACTGACCTGTCTCTTTTAGACCTGGTCACCTTTGCACTTAGAGGCTGCAACTCAAGTGCATCAGAGATGCCCATTGGCAGTGCCGGTGTGTGGAGGAGTGGAAGAGATTCTTGGAGGGGTTGAATCTGGGGAGATAACTGGTGGGAAGAGGGGCCAGGGGTTTGCAGGGCAGGAGGGAGGTGACTGCAGGTGTGCAAAACAAGTGGCACCCTGACACCATCACGTCGGGGAGCTGGGAGCTTCCCTGCTGCATGGGGACAGTTTCAGTCCCTTTGACTTCAGGGATGCTGTCAGTTTCTAGCAAATGTTTTAGAAACATAGTGCATTATTGGGAGCTCATTCAGTAAATAGTGGCAATTGTTAACAAATCAAAACCCTTTCTCCTGAAATGGCCCTCTATCTGATAGGGTTTTGTCATTGCTTTATTTTCAAGCCAAAAGACCTCCCAGTCTACCAAGCTGTAAAAAGCTGCTATAAGAGCTTCTAGGTACAGATCCTTAGAAAATTGGATACCAGCTCCCTGTTGAATCTCAAAAGGCACTGGGCACCCCCGTCAGGCAGGAGCTGTTATGCATCCCCATCAACAGGAGGCTTCAGATCCAGAGCAGCATATCCCGTATCCCTTTCATTCCCTGAGCTCTGGGCTGGGGGCAGTCTGAGGACAGTTTTTTTGGCTTTGTTCAAAAGGAAGATTGAGAAGGTCTCAAGTCCTTTTTCAAAATGTGAAATTGTCTGATAGAGAAATAAAAGCGGAGTCATGGCTTCTGGTTTTGCTGTTATTTATATCTAGGCCTTATATCACCAAAGTATTTGAACCCATCTGTAAATGTGAGTGTATGGGCAACCTGTGAAACTCAGTGCTGGGAGTCATGTCTGGGATGAATTGGGGATTTAATATTAAAAGTCTAGAAGGTGAGGTCTTAATTAATGTACAAAAACAGCTTCAGTGAATTTAAACTTTAGCAAAGAGCAAATTTACGTGTGTTTTTTCTCTCCCTGCATCTTCCTTTCTGTGTTATTCACCAACTCCTCTCTGCAGCAACTGACTTACAGTTTGCCCGGACGCATGATGGACGACCTGTTCCTTATGCCACTGCTGGGGACTGCTACAGTGCAGCCAAATGTCCTCAGGTATTTGACAGTAGCATTTGAGAATAGGAATTGGTGCCTTTTGTTATGTACAGTCCCCACAGCTTCGACTCTCTAGACTTCATTTGCAAATGGCATTGAGCAGTAAGTCGCACTCACAGGCAGCAGAGGGCATCCCTCCATCTTCTTCCCTCTCTGCTCTCAGGGCTGGGACCTTATAGCAGAACTCGGCAGCTTAGGGATTGGCTTCTTACCTCGGGTGGGCTCCTGGCTGCTTATGTCAACCCACCAACCAGACAGCAGTCGTGGGGAGCAAAGCTCACAGCCCTCTGCTGTCATAGTGGATTGGGGCTGTGACCAGAAATGGGGTGGGATGGGGTTTGTCAGGGGAAAACTGGGAGATCTGTGTTGGATGCTGATATAGCCATGAATTTTGCATCCATTTTGTGTATATTGAAACTGAGAGGATGAAGGACAGAACATATTTAAGAAAAAACGAAAAGAATTTTTATTTAACTGAAGGCTGGAAAAAAAAAAAAAAAAGAAAAAAAAAAAAAGCTCAGCTCAGTGGAAAACGTGGAAAATAAGGACAAGTGTGCCCTCTCCAGTTGAGGAAGGGAAAGTGAGAGCAGCTGCAGTGTTCCTAGGCATTTTCTCCATCAGCTGCTGGAGCATTTTGGTTCCACTGTTTGCTGTGGGAAAGCCAAGAATGCCCTCAATCGGCCAACCACGAAAAAGCAGCAAAAAACTGAGTGAAAACAGTGAAAAACCAAGCAAAGCCCCTCCTTCCCTGCGGCTACAAATGAGAAAGAAATTCCTAACCGGAGACACGCTGTGATTTGTGCAGTGTGTGCAAATCACTGTCAGAGTGATGGAGAAATGAAAACTTCGCAATCAAGATCCCATTATACAATTGATGCTGTGAGAAGTGTGGCTGTGGCACAGGGCTCTGGGGGTAACCAGGCTTCTCTCCTCTCTTTTTAGGGTCGCTTCAGCATAGACCTGTATGGGACAGGCCTGTCTTTAACGGGAACGGCGAAGTGGCTTTCCCAAGGGAATTATGCAGTGTCAGAAATTCAAAAATCCCCAGTAAGTCATAATGTTAATTATGGTTCTACCCGCTCACGGGAAGTTTCTAATTGCTGACATCTCTCAAGGAGACGCTAACAGAAATCTAACATCTGACATTAGAAACAAAGTGTTGCCCGTAATTGTAATGCGGGAACCCTTGTGGGTTTAACTTGATCAGAGTTATTGCAATTAATTAGTGAGCCTGCTTAGTGGTGAAACTGCATGCCATGAGTGCTGTGATACAGAGCTACCTGTAATTAGCTGGCTGAGGTGGGCAGTGCTGCATTTGATGAGCAGGGATTGACCCCAGGAGGGTCCGAGGATGAAGATTTAGTTGGCGTGGTGGGGATGGGTTGATCTTAGTGGTCTTTTCCAACCTTTATGATTCTATAAATTCTACTCTAAGGAGGTCACCAGAGGCATTTAACAATAAGCAATCTGTAACATATCCTCTCTTTCGGTTTCCTTTGAGAGAGTTGCCCTTGAGCCTTGCTGGTACTGGAGCTGTTAAAGGAGTCTTTTTGGCAGCTTTGGATGCTGCAGGTCCACGCTCCAGCACAGCAGGTGTAAGAGAAATGGCACAGACCCCACATGTTCACTCTGACCAGTGCTTGGCAATTTTTCCCTCTTCAGAAAGGAGAAGCCCAAGCAGCCCTAGGGGTTGCAGAGAGCAGATGCAATCAGAGTTAAAACAAGGGGCAGGGAGGCTAAGGGACAGCTCTTGCCTCTCTCACCCGGTGGCATCTGTCAAGCACTGCTCCAGGGATGTAATTGTAGCAGGATCAGAAAGCAAGAAAAGATGACAGCAGCCTGCTGCAATCATGGATCAATTGTGTCAAGCGTGGAATGGAGCTCGTTTAAAAATAAATGCTTTGTGCAAGCTTGTCCTGCACTTAAGTCCAATCTTCTGGTAATTGAGGGTTCAATTCCCCCCAAGGACTGTCTGACCGTTGTAATGACCAAGAGGAGAACTCTACAGAGGTGGGACATGTGTAGGTGTTGCTGATGCTGGCATCAATCCTCTGACTTGAGGCTGGAGCTGCCCCATTTGCTGCCTCATTTGCTGAGCTCTCCAGCCCAAAGTCAGCATTCTTTTGGATCTCTGCTGACTTTGGAGATGTAGAGCTGAGGAGGGACAGCACCACAGCCCTTCTGCATCCAGGCTCTGCCCTCCCAAACAGGTGTTTCTTTACAAATGTCCTCCATGCCCTTCCCATGCTCACTTACCACCAAAGTACTGATGCTGCCTAGATGTGTTCTTTCTCCTGCATGATCCAAGATTTGCACTCATTACAGCAGAACAAGGGATTATTCACTGTGGAGCAAGTTGAAGAAAGTAGATGCCCTTGAGATATCCCTTCAAATGGCCTTCTCCTTGGGCATCTTGCAGTGTGATAAATCAGAACTACCCTTTCTTATTTGTGTTCAGCATCTGACCTGGCAATACTAAAGGGACTTACATTTGCATACATTTAAATATAACTGTAATTTTGTAGACTGATTTAGGCATTGTTTGTTTTTCTTCTGAGACATTTCCTATTAAAGCCCTGACTGGAATCATAGAATTTGAGTTGGAAGGGACCTTTAAAGGCCATCTGGTCCAGTTCCCCTGCCATGAACAGGGATACCTACAGCTCCATCAGGTGCTCAGAGCCTGGCCCAGCCAAGGCACGTCTCTAAGGGCGGGGCATCCATCACCTCTCTGGGCCTCACCACCTTTATTATAAAAAACTTTTTATATCCAACCTAAATCTCAGTTCTTTTGGTTTGAAACCAATAGAATCACCCAGAGCTGGAGCCCTGACGTGAGATGCGATTTCTGTTTTTGCCTGCAGGATGGTACCAAAGTAGTAGGAAGATGTGGTGGTTACTGTGGGAAGTGTACCCCGTCGTCTGGAACAGGCCTCGACGTGCAGGTGTTATAGCAATGGTAAGGCCATGGCCACTATGGCTCCCATTTCCCAAAGCCAACTGATTGCTCAGCCATTGGGTTTGGGCTCTAGGATTTGGCCCCCAGAACTCCAGAAGGCAGAGCCCATGACGTGTGCTCCCCATCTGTGCCTTGCAGGTTCTCTGAGAGCATCCCGTGGAGATGAGACGGATGAAGGATAGCGATGCAATACCTCTGCCTCCCACTTTTTTAACCTGTTTATGTGTGTATATAGATCGCATATTCTTAATGTACAGTATAATATTTATGTTTGGAATTATTTATTTTGATTTAATATTTTTGTACGTAAAATCATTATATTAAGGCTGCTTTTACTATTTTTATTTTTTATTGTTAAATCCTGCAGTCAAACCACTGCATTTTGCGTACTCTACATTATATGTAGCATTATGACAAGTGATACTTTATTGTCACTGTATTCAGTTGTTTACTTTCAATCAGTAATTTTCCTTCAGTTACGGGCTGCTTTAGCCCTCCACGGTGCTACACAATCTGCATTGGGGTATTTTTGGCATTTCAATCTGTCTTGATGTAAGGAAAATAGACAAGATGTGCTTAAATTTTAATTTAGCAATTAGGCTGACAGCACTCAAGGAAAACATGACAATGAATACAGTGCTCGTTGCATTAGCAATCTTTATCTTTTAGGTATGTTTTGAATTTCACATGACCTCTGTGGCCGGTGCTGAAAGCGCTGGTTTGGTGCTAACATGGTATTTATTAACGCTCAGTAATTTTAGTTAATCCGCTGCCTTTATCAGTGGGAAAAGGAAGAAAGCAGAGAAATTGTCAGGCGATTCAAATAGAATCAATCATAGAATCCATCAATAGGATTCAATCATAGAATATCCCAAGCTGGAAGGGACACATAAGGATCATTGAGTCCAACTCCTGATTCTATGCAATAGATAGAGATCTGCTCCAAGTTCAGGAAAATTCCTACAGATGGATCTTCAGCAGAGCCCTGTTTTGTGTAGAGCTCCAAAAAGCTCCCATTTCCCTGCTAATTGCATGTGCCACCGTGCTTCCCACCTCCATCTGGCAGCAGGGCGATGGGGCCGTATGTTCCCTGGGCTGCATGCTGAAGAACTGCAGCTCATTAGGGACGTGGTCACAAAATCCCAACGCACTGTTGGCTCTGTGGGGTCCTGCCACCCGTGGGGCTGGTGGGGACGCAGGGGCAGGGCTGGGGTACCACATCCCAGCAATGCTTCCCACGCACTGTGCCCATTTGTGGGGCCGTGCAGCGTCAGCGCTGCTGTGTTTCCAGCAGGATCAGCTTGTACTCGCAGAGTGATACCCCCCCCCCCAGCAAACAGGCTGCTTGACGCCTACTTCTGTACGGCTTCCTATCCTCCTGATAAGGCATCTGTGCTCTTTGCTGTCCGCGATCCAATGTACAACCAGACCTTAAGTGGTTTCTGTAGTGTTTCTGTAATGGAGAAACGCGGCTGTGCAATGCCCTGCCTGTACATAGCCTGCTGCTTGCAGCACTGCGCAGAGCTTCGTAGCACGTTGAACGGGGGTGATGTGACCAGATTATTTTTGTAGTCTATGACTATGTCCCTTAATTCTTTCTCCTTGATTCTACGTAGCAATAGGAAAACGCTGCCCCAGCGCCTTAGGTCGGGGCAGCCGGGAGCACGAAGGACAAATTTGCAGCACAGAATTGCCAGCATTTCAGAAGACTCACCCAGCTAAGTCTTTAAATTTGGGCTGCAGATACTCAGCAAACCCGACCTCAGGATTTTCTGTATAGCTCCCCAAAGGAGAGCTCCCTGCACTCGTAACCCATGCGTTTGGCAGCCCGCAGAGTGAGACTTGTCAGCCTGACGGTCAGGCATTGCCACATGGATGTAAATTGGTGGGCATCCAATTTGGGAGCAGGGTTGGGTTAAAATGCAGCTAAAGAATTGGTGCTCGGCGCTCACCAGTGTGCCCCTGTCGCTCTCGTTAATATACAGGCTTAAAGGGGAGAATGAGAATTGTACTTATGATTAGGGGTGGGTTTTTTATTTGTTGTTTAATAGCACGTACAGTAAGTGGATGTGATTATATCTTAGATTGCTATTTCACCTATGTCTTCTGCCTACAGTAAGAATTGATACCTCCCTGTGAAAAAAAAAAATGCCAAAAATACCATTTCAAAGGTCAAAGAAAGGGGAAAGGGAAAAAGGGAAAGGGAAAAAGGGAACAGGGGAGGGAAAGATGGAGAGAAAAGGGAAAAGTAGCAAAATGGAGTAAGTGATATTTTTTTCTTTAATGATAATTGCTCATGTGTAACTTGTGTAGGGTAAAAGGGAAAATTGCACTTTGAACTTCAGAGAGAAACAGTGGTGCTTAGAAAGTACAGGCTTATTATATTTTCTGTGATGAAAGGAATGGCTATTTATAAAAAGAAATATTATTTTGACCTGTTTGCATTCCTTTCTGCCGTATAGTTTCATAACAGCTATTAGCAGAGCCAGATGAACCTGATAAAAAGTATCAAGTAAACTATAAGAATTGACAGATCACTGATCTTATGATTCATCATTGGGCTTCGTTAAACAGGATGAGACTTTGAGGAGCAGAGACATGGGACACTCCTAGTTCAGGAAACAACTCTGGGTTTTGTATGTCAATGCCATTATTTTTCTACAAACTGTTGTGGGGTTTATTTTGTTGGGTTTTGGGGGGATTATTTTTTTCTTTTTGCAAGCACTTTCCTGTACAGTTTTTTTTTTTCTTTTCTTTCTGATGATATTCAAAACGGAAATGGAAAGATCTGTAAGACAAGTCAGTTTGGTCTTTCTGCATCTGCCATCGTATTTTAATGCCTGTATGCTATTATAGAGGCAAAATACTTTGTACACAAGGGAATAATACAGTGAATGGTAAACATTCCGTTCTGTGCTGGTATTTATTTGCATGCTCTGGGTTCCCTGTTTGCTTGTCTCATGCAAAAGGAGTGCGGGGAGGAGGAGAGTTGTGTGCAGTGCTGTGTCTGTGGTCTGGGGACCTTCAGGGGAACACAGTGCTCTGTGACTGCTCTGGGTGCTCCCTGACTGCTGTCCAGGAGAGGAATGGTGTTCCCAGAGGGGACTGCTGTGGGGTGATAGGGGCAACAAGGAGCCCAGCCACTCATTGGACAATTGTTCCTGTAGGGTGAGCTGGGGTAACCTGACCTCTTAGCAGTGCAATTTAATAAAATCAGCCAAAATAAATCAACTGAGAAAAAGCCACCACAGCCAACTCCAACAGCATTCCTCAGAGCAGCCCCATGCCTGATTTAATCACACTTCTCTTTTAGTTGTACCAACCTTCTCCAAACAGTGAATCCCAAATGGCCTGGAGGTTCCATCCCTACAGCCTAAGTTTTGCCCTCATTGATAAGCAATAGAGCATCCATGCAGACTCACCAATGGACTCAAAGGCCACATTTAGCATATTAGGAAACCAAAGTGTTTCTCTGTTCCTGTATGCATTCTGATTTGGAAATTGAGCCACATGCAAGTGTGCATTCCAACTGCATTCTTTTTGCAATTATGTAGCAGTAGAGATATAAATATACTGGTCTATTTCCTAAAACATAATCTATTTTATTGTGAACTGGCAATTATACATTTTAAAGGAGGCTTATTTTTCTTTACAACTTTTCATTAATCATTTCCAGATTACTTATTTTTAGCAAATTTTGACTGTGTTGCAACTCCCTTTGCTTGGCAATTTCAGTGATGGCAGCAAAGAAACATGGTTACAGATTATTGCAGAAAAGCACTTCTTTCTGAGCTGAAGATCTGTATTTCTGTGTCGTGGCAGGCAACGTGGGTCCCAGTGAGCACTGCTAATTAGTCAACTTTCTATAAACAATTTTATGTCAACACAGCTCCAAATAAACTTCATTGCTTAAAAATGAGACTCAAAAGCAGAGATGGATCAGGAATTAGATGACCCCGTTAATGGTTTACTGCAAATCTTCACTGACTATCGAGGAAAAAAATATGCAGTCTCTAAAATGTTGCTCTGGGGAGAATTGTGAAGTCAGGTTGAGGATCTGTGATCTGATCATGATCAGCTGCAGCATGGAATTACCACTCCACCAGCTCCCAATCCTGGAGGTGGAAGAAGAGCCTTCCCCTGGCTGTTTGGTTTGCAGCTGGAATGGCCTCAATGGCCCCTGCTGGCACCATGGCCATTAGCCTGTGACCAAAAGTGTCCTTCTTTACTGTCATTTTTCTTTAAGAAATGACTCCAAATGTGGGCTGCTGTGGAGCCACGTCACCATGCATGGCTCCTGAATAATATTTCACTTTCCAGCCCAATATAATGATGGGGTTATTTTAACACTTTTGATTGTTGGCTCCAGTAATTCTGTGAAAATTACAGTGCGCTTCTCCAGCCTTGTTGCACAGCCTACCACTACTAATTGCTTCAGAGGCATGGTTGATCTCTTCAGCCTTCTCTCCTGGCCTAATAGTGAGCATTTTTTCTTCTCTAGAGAAAACACAATGCATTTTGTTGAAGGCTGCTGGAAATGCCTGTCTCAGGGAGCTTGGCTTGAATTAAGATGTTTACAGGAAAACTGTCTTCTGCATGGCCATGAAAATCGTATTGAGAAATGGGGAGAGGTGGAAAAGACTGAAGATGGTAAACATTTCCCACTGAGGCACTCACAGATTGGATCTCCTGACTGAATCCTCTTCCCAACAGCTGACTGAGGGCTGGCTTAGGGAAGGCATTACCAACCCAGCCGAGTCAGTAAGTCCTTCCTTGAACTCTTCACACAGAGAGAAACGCCTTTTTGAGAATGACATCTGAGTTCATCCAGAAGTCTCTAAGCTTTGAGCTGCTGCTCATTCATTGGGAGGGGATGGGTGCCTTCCCAGTACAAATTCCTGGCTGCAGCTCTGTAGCCTTGTGCAGGAAGAAGGAGCAGGACACCCAGAACGGTGCCTGTCGGTCTCAGCATTTTCCAAGTATTTTTGCCTGTTCTGGAGCAATCCAGGCAGCAGGGATTGTAACCTTCCAGAAGCAGATTTAGTTGACAAGTTTCTGACCTCTCTTTGCAATAGTGAGATGAAGAATGCTGGGAAGTTATTTTTGGCCTTCTCAGAAGAGTCTGACTTTCCACTTCAAAGCTGGCTTAATTTTTAAGCTATGTTCTATTACCAAACATAAGGCACCGTTTTTGAAAAATCAAAACGAGAGCAGAATACTGCTTTAACCTAACCCACATGCTTTTGTATTTTATTTCCTAGGGGAAGTTTGGTTTGTTTGTTCCAATAAAAGAAAAAAAAAAAAAAAAAGCCATCAGAACTGAAATTTCTGTAAAATGATTTCTGCCCCTCTCTGGTTATAAATGGGATTTCTGAAGTGTTCAGAAACACGACCTGTTGGCTGTCAGTACACAGAGACCTGATGCAGGCTCCAGGAGAAGGCAGAAACACGTTTGTCCTTCGTGAAGCTGACCCAGGGGTTGGTCCTTCATGGCATGGGATGATGCATGGCCATACCCATCAACACACTGTCACCAGCAACACCTCAGCCCTGCTTTGGGGTGAAGCTGTGCTGCCAGCCGTGGCATCTGGCCGCAGGGTGTTTGCTGGTATTTGGCATCTCCAGCTTTGAGAGCACGAGGAGAAGAGCCAGGATTTTCGAGAATCCTCTCCTTTGTATGGGAGGCAGAGGGTGCCAGGGGAGGCAGGGCTTTGCATACATTCTCCCTTTAAATCATTATTTGGCTCCATTCATATGCTTATAATTTTTTCATCCTACTCTAATCTGTGACTACATTTCAAACAAGCAATTAAATTAATCAAGTCTTTGCTGCATTGTCCTTTTCTAATCCATCCTCTCTGGCTTGCTGACCTTTCCCTTTGAAGCTGTTCTCTGCTTGCTGCTGCCTTCCCCCACCCTACGCAGAAAAGAACATTTGGTGTGAAATGATTTAATTGCTGCCGTAGAAGGGAAGGAGGACGGCTTCCTACAAACAGCCCAGCAAAAGCCAACACGGCCAAGAAAAAGTAGGGGCATGTTTGCTCCCATGCCTCTGGATTTAGAAACATAGAATCATAGAATGGGTTGAGTTGGAAGGGACATCAAAGATCATCTAGTTTCAACTCCCAGCTTTGGCCAGCCCTTGGGAGCAGGGCCAGATGGGTGGTGCTGAGAGTGGGCACATCTCTGAATCCTGGTATTCTGGGGGCCAATGCACCCAGGTCTGTGACACATCTGATCTAAGGGACCCTCAGCCAGTACATTCTATTTTAGAGGTGTTGCTAAATTCTGCTGACTGGATTGCATAAAGTGCCTTGGAGCGTCTTAAAATCCTTCCAATGCTTTTGTCAACATCTACAGCGTCATACAGCTCTGTGCATGGCTCACCTGGAACGACCTGGGAGCTGCCTCCGTCAGATGCCTGAGATAATCTGATAATTTCCACCTCTACATCATCTTCACTCTGCGTTATGCAAGTGGTATGTGAAGCTTTCTAGATATGACTTGCATTTGGATTTTTCCTATTTCATCATGCCTAGGCCTTTCAAGAGCCTAAATGCACAGAAATATGTCACCTGGGAGCACTGCAAGCTGCAGGCAGCAAGTATCATAGAATCAGCACAGAACCATAGAATGGCTTGGGATGGAGTGGGTCTCAAAAATCACCTGGTTCCAACCCCCCTGCCTCACTCAGGGCTGCCAACCACTAAACGAGGCAGCAGCTCTGGCTGCCCAGGGCCCCATCCAACCTGGCCTTCAGCACCTCCATGGATGGGGCAGCCACAGCTCTGGCCACTGCCTCACTGCCCTCTGGGCAAAATATTTCCCCCCAGCATCTTACCTGAATCTCCCCTTTTAGTTTAAAACCATTCCTCTTGTCATGTGTTACCCCACATATGTTTGGTATTTTTCTCATCTTTAGGAATGCTCCTGAAATGTTGAGGTAGCCTGGAAAGAGAGCAGCTTTACGGTGCAAAGCAAATCATGCTACTGGGTAGCAAGCAAGCTCAAGTGAGTGAGAAATAGCAAAAAATTGCTCGTTGCTATAGCATGAGGAGGTTGTGTACCAATTGGCAGTGCCCCTCTGCATGGCTCTGTGCAGCCTCCAGTTGAGTACAGAGCAGCACAGTGTAGCACGTCTCCATCCTCAGTAAGAAGCAAGAAGCAGGGCTGATCTAGACAGCAAAGAAACTCGGTTCTGAGGTAA